TTTGAAAATATGAAGTATTTTTATGCTTCTCATGTGTTATATATATCAACTCCTGTACTTTAATCACACATTTTCATAGGTCATGGTTCTAAAGAAGAGCTGTAATGTACGCGTATGAACATTTCAATGGAAAACCAAAACAAACGACCAGTGGGTACTATTTGCAGCAGTTTCATTGTTCTGTGCTGCGGAGAAGGGGGGCGTTCGTCCGTTGGGGTTTGGAGTTGCACTGTATCCATTTTAAGTTAGCGCTGGTGGCACCTGGGGTGCTTAGCGTTTTCGAACGGTTCTGCTGTGGTATTCAGTACATTCAAGCTCTCATGTTCACAGAAAACTGTTGTGGGGACCCTGTGCCCAATACCAACTCCCACTGTTGCGCAAAAGTGGGAGGGTCCCCGAATCGGTTGCGAGATAGGCATCCTGCAAGCCTTTTGTTACATTACCGGACTGCTATTATTGGAAGGACATTTTGAATCCCCTTACCTTTTTGGCATGGGGCTTCAAGTAGCAGTGATCGCTGTGCACACCTAAGAAGTTGGACCCTGAAGATGCGCTAATTATAAGATAAGCCTGTAATGGGGAAAAATCGCCTGTTGTACATGTGAGGACTCAGGTAAGAAGCATGAAAAATCATTTATCTGTTGCCCTGTTGGTGTATTATGACTTCCTTTGCTGATGCAATGTGTTACTGATTGTCAAGGCTTGCATCATCCCTGCTGTGTTCCCAGTACTGTGACTTTACTGCTTGTACTGCTTTGGAGCTGCAAGATAGCAGTGCTGTTGCTCTTTGGAAAGTATCAATCAAGTTGAATTTTACCTTTTCAGATAGTCATCCTGGAAATACCAACCATGGGGGACAAAAGCAAGCTGATTGGTGGCCAACAGAAGGTGCTGCAGGTCTTGTATGATGACTTGGAAAAGGAGCAGCAACAATGGAAGGCACAGGCCTACAAGGAATACCCAGATGTAAGTAGCACATCATATGATCAAGAAAATCTTCAAGACTTAGGGTGCACAAGTACTGATTTACCGTGTTTCCTGTTTTTGATGGCTAATTAGATCAAGTAAAATGCAGCAAACATAGAAAAGGAAAGATGAAAATATCAGAAATGACGTGAAATATGATTGTACAATATATTTCAGTTATTTGAATTTAACCTGGTGAAATTATGGCTGTGTAGCTTAAGTTTTCACCATATTTGGTCAGCTATGTATGCATTTTGTTATCTCAAAGGGTATCTTTATCTGAGTTTTAATTTAAGGTAATAGTTTTTTAATGTTTATAGTTTTAATGGTATTTGATTTGTGATTTTGATGGATGCATATTTTAATATATTTTTGAAATGTTCTTTCATTTCTGTTAATTGGTCAAGAGATGCAAAATAGGTAATCAATATTATGATGTGGCCATTGTTCTCACTTAGTGAAATTAGTTTTGTTATTCCTGCGCAGATATTGATAAACTATACGTGACTTGACTATTTTTTCATTCTTGCTATAGTATCTTGTGCATTTGGGCATGTGGTTCCATTAATATTTATTTAAGCTATCCTAAAAGCCTGTAAACAGGCAAGTGGGGGTCTTGGATCTTATTTGCATCATGTTCACATCATGTGTTGGTAGCTAGGCTATGTGTACTGTACTAGCCACAAGCATTATATCTCAGGCCACCAGCTATTCCTTTTTGCAAACCAACACCTATTTCCTTACTATGTATGCCTTCACTAGAAAAGCAGGAAATCTCTGACTGAAATGTCAGCTGGTTGCAATTACACTAAAAAATGACAGGACTTTGCTCAGCCGAGCTTTCCCGTGTGGCCCTCGCGGAAAGTGCACGGCCCCGGGCTGACGTCGGCGCATATCGATCGGCCCAGCTCGCCGTCGCGCTGTTGACGCCGCATCAGCGATGTTTGCCAGCGGCTCTTGCACACCCCCGCGGCAGCCGCTGGCGCCCGCTTTGACACGGCCTACGCGCGTTACAGCCGGGCCGGTCAGGGCCGTGGTATTCGGCCGGCGATGAGGAAGCGCAGCTTGCCCCGATCGCGGTAACCCAGACTTAGCAGATCGGGGCCAAGGACGGATTTGGTTGCGGATGTCGTGGCGCAAGGGCTGCGCCGTGTCCTGGTCCCGCGCAGAATGCGCTTGGAATGCGCTGATGGCTGCTCTTGATGCTAAACTTGGCGTGGGACGGAATGTAAAAATATTTTGGCTAGCGGCACCCATGTTATCTTTTTCATTTTTTCCATGTTTTAGCAATGCTGTTTTACAAGCTAGTTAGTTCAACGACCCACGGTTTCTGCAGACGGCCATTTCAGGTTTGGGTGTGTAGAGACCTCTACCGGTGGGAATGAGCACCACTAGTTCTTAGAGCAGCCGCCAGGTTTTCTGCTGGAGTGATATGCCCCGGAACCAGCGGTAACTGGTTTTGTGTTATGATGACACCAGTTTCAATCTTTGGATGCTCGTCTCTTGTCAAGGGCGAACGCAGATCCGATCTTTGACGCTCATTCTTGTTCTGGTAATAGTTCCTGCATCCGGATTGTCTCGAAAACTCATGATGCTGGTACTGGTCTTTGTTCATCATGTACTTGACGCTCGTAAATTATTCTTGATGCAGGCAAGAAAGGCTTTGAGGTCCTGGCTTTTTGGCATGATGCAGTGGTATTTGTTATGCTGACAGTGGCTGGCCTGTAAGATACCAAGAGGAGCTGGTTGAACGACACTATCAGGCAAGAATTGGGTAATATTGACGAGACTAGCGAGGATCCCGATGCAAATGACGCCTGTAGCTTACCCAATCCTTATCAGTTTATCTCCACATACAGTCATGATCATGACGTCATATCCGTGCAAGCCCTCTGCTTAGCAGCGACTCATTCCAGTTGTCAGGGCGTTTGACGGGCAGCGGATCATTCGCTCTTAGTCAGGGCTGGGGCTGGCGGTCTGCTGGCCTCGGGTGCACAAGCGGACCGGCTGCCCTCGGGGCCGTCCGGCCCCCGGCACCTCAGGCTGGAGCGGTGGGTGGCGGGCCGGTGCCGCGGCCGGCCGGCCCAGTGCCGCTGGTCCACCGCACCTCAGGCTGGAGCGGTGGGTGGCGGGCCGGTGCCGCGGCCGGCCGGCCCAGTGCCGCTGGTCCACCGCACCTCAGGCTGGAGCGGTGGGTGGCAGGCCGGTGCTGCGGCCGGCTGGCCCGATGCCGCCCACAGGCCGGCTCTGTAAGGCCGACGCCGGCCGCGGCCCTATCGGCCGGCCGTATCAGGCGCCGCCGAGCCGAACCGAGCCGAGCCGGCGCGCGCGTCACCGGCCGTGACGTGGTGGCGGCAGGCTATCGCGACATCGGCGCGCGCCGGCCACGGCTCACTCCGCCGACAAGGAGAGTGGCGCATCAGAGGGCAGTGTCGCGCCGTGCTTGCCGCCCGCTAACGGCACCGCCAAGCCGATCAGAGCAGCGGCGGACTTGCGGCTGACGGCGAGGAGGACCGCGTTGCAGCCCTGGGCATGAGGGCGGGTCAGGCAGGGACTGACTGTTGCGACGGACCGCCCACACAGTCGGCCAGCGGCAGCTCAGTGGAATTAGTGGCTGGCCGCACTGGCCGGGTAATGCGCTGAAGGTTCAGCCTGATTTCCAACTAAAACGTTGACGTCATACAGTTGGAAACGGCGCCACCGAACAGTAACAAACGAGCCTCTCGTGCGGAAGCAGACATACTGCGCACACCAACTGCGGGAAATTTACGTCGACGTGGTTGATGACGTGTCTTAATGCGCGTTAAAACAGCGTATTGTCCACAATAAGTGTATTGGCTGCGCTGGCCCCCGCCCCACTGAAGAGCACGGGGGCGCAGAAGGCGGCACCTTTGCCCGAGCGGTTCTCATTATAATACAGCAATCAGTGACCCTGACCCCGCCTGAGTTGTCGAGCGGGATGCGGCGCCGGCCCGCCCCCGGCGTCGCCGCCGGGCGCTGCGGACACAGCTCTTGGCCCGGGACGGTCGTGATGGATAGGCTCGGTCACGTTACCCCGCGCTGGCGGCTGCGGCCGTCACGGCTGACAGACAGCCGGCGGCCGCCGCGCAGCCTTGGCACGTCGGTTTATTTGACGCGGGTGCACTCGTCGTGTTTGCGGGTGTAGGCGGTAACGTGTTGGGCGGTCACTTGGGCGCGCTGTCATGGCCTTGTTTACTGGCGGTGACGGGCGAGAGCCAGCTGCGCTTTGTGGTGTGGAGCGGATGGCTGTTTGTCACCTTGCCTCCCATTCTCTGTTACTAATGGGCCGTAGAAGTGATAGGCTTGATTTATTATTATGTACATTGGTATGCATTTCATATCCACATTGGTATCTCTCTCACACATCGTAATGCCTTGAGCGGACCACTTGGACTAAGTGGATATTCACATCTATTCAGTTTTGCTCGCAATACGTCTTAACATAGCGCATCAGCAATTGAACCCTGCTACGTATCTTAAACTCTATGCCCACGTCACTCCAGCGTCTCAACTACCGTCCTCCGTGGCAGTACTGCCACTCCGTCCGAAAAGTCACAAGTCCCACACGAGCGCGTTCGTCTGCAGCGGCCCATCGCCGGGCGCCGCTCATCCCCACGGCCAGAGTCTCCTCACCGAGCGGGTCTCGCACGTAGTTGTACAGATTCCTGTGTTTCTCCGCGTCGGTCACGCCATCCTGCGGCCCGAACTGCACCCAGTTCCTGCGCCGCTCGGTGACAGGTGGCGCTGGCGTGCCGCGCGTGGTCGTCCAGCGGCGGCGCGGCGCCGGCGTGGCCGCCACGGGCGGCGCGCCGGCCAGGCCGCGCCGCCGCTCCGGGTACGCCGGCAGCACGCCCTGCACGCCGCCCGAGGGCAGGCCGCGCCGCAGCCCGAACCGGTAGCGGCCGGGCAGCAGCTGGACGGGCGCGGCGGGCCGCCGGGCCGGCGCCGGCGCGCCCGGCCGGTACGTGGTGGCCGCCACGCCCGCCGGACGCGTAGCTCTGCTGCACGCCGCTCAGGACGTCGGAGCCGTAGTCGGCGACGTGGCCACGCCGATCGGGCCGGTAGCCGGCCGGCCGGTCGCGGCGCAGCGCCAGCAG